ACTGCAACGAAAAAAAGCTGGATGTTGTGGCGGGTGCCTGTAGTCCTGGCTACTTATGAAGGTAAGGCAAGAGAATTACTTAAGCCCAAGAGTTTGAGGTTGCTGTGAATTGTGACACCAGGGCACTCTACTGAGGGCGACATAGTGAGATCTGTTCCAGTCCTATTTTTCTTCCATTTTCACTAATAAAATGAATGACAGTATTGAAACTGCTACACAACACTATCAGAAAGAAGAACACTGTGGACTACTTAATAAAAGGGAGAAATGTATATAATGAAGTAAAAGTATATCTAAATTGTTTAAATAATGTAAATCACCATATTCACATAATATATCCCAAAGCATGAGATACAGGATTTATGTAGTTTCTAAAGATCTCAAATGATGAAATAGATAGAATATATGCAAATTTTGTTACTAGGTACAATGGTTCCAGAAACTATGAGGTTTAACCTTAATTTGGAGAAAAACTCTAGAGTGGCCTATTAAACTCTTGGCAAAAACTAGAAGGAAAGCATAATCACTGAGAAAAACAAAATACAATCTTCCCACACGGATGATTTTAGTTTTTACGTGATTATAAATTAATATAATAATAAAACCCTCTTTCTGAATTGTCAAAACATTTTAACAGTCATACACCAATTACTGAAGAAAAGCAGTTTAAAAACAGCAGCACAGAAGTAATTATTCTTATGTCATAGAGAGTTCCTAAAATTATGACATATAGTCCATAGTAAACAACATGGTATAAACTTTTTTCTCTTTTTTCCTTTCCACTAAGTACAAATATGAACCCTGGAGATATTGCAAGAGGAAATTAAAAGAGAGCAATTAAATATGGAAAGAGGAAGACAGACTGATTAGGGACTTCCGGACAGGAAAAATATAGCAATTTTTAAGGCTTTTTAAGGATCTTTAATTCAACCAAAGAATGTAGCACCAGCCTAGCATCTTCCAATATCTAATCTATCAACAAAAGACAACCCATTTGGGCTCACTTTTTCCCCAGATCAAATGACAGATCAAACTATGACATCAAGTGAGCCCAGAAACACTGGAAAATTGATCAGAAATCCCAATGACATTAAAATATCGCAAAGCACTCTTGTTCTCTTTTGGCCTTGAGACCACCCTTCCCCATCGACAGTCACCATACAGCACTAGCAAAGGATAATCCCATCATATCAAGCTCAGGAAACTTGCTCACCAATGCAGGCCATAGAATCCCTTTTCCTAGGCCGTACCAGAGAGGTAAAAACAAAAGCCTACCTAGCAAGTGCTTGTCATAGACCATAGGAAGCCTTTCCTCCAGGCAGAGGCACTAGGAGACCCAGACTATGGAAACTCACCGCACCCCCTCAGGCAGCAACATCAGGAACCCATGGGAGCCCAAGCAGCACCACATACCAAACATGAAAATAGCACCACCAACCCACTGAAAATTAACCACTGACACCACAATCAATAAAAATAGGCTGAGACCTACAGACTAACCCTAAAAAGGATGACTGCCTGCTAAAGTAAATATTTAAAGGGAACCCAAAGCCTCTTAAAATATCCAAAATACAATAAAAGAAAATCATCCCACATATGAAGAATGAGAAAAATCACCTTAAATTTTGAAAATTTTGGTCATTGTGTCAAATGACACAAACACCAAAGCAAATTAGTTGTTGGAATTATCTGACAATGATGTTAAAAGCAACCATCATAAAAAGTACTTCTATAAACTATATTTTTAAAAGGGAGAGGAATAAAGATTAAGTGAATATGAAAAAAATAAAAATTCCTCCCTAAACTGACTTTAAAACATTTCAATAAGCAATTACAAATTTTCCTGAAACAAATGAATAAAAAGTCTCAATATATGACAGAACTTTAAAATAACATTGATAACCAAATGGATATAACACAGCTAAGAGACACAGTGCTGGAGTACGGGTTGGGGGAAGTCCCACTGAATGGGCTCAACAGTGTAGCAGAGATGATTAAGGATAGACTCAGTGATCAAAAGTATTACACAATCTGAACAACAGAGAGAAAATAAAATTTTTAAAACTTAACAGTACCGTAGGACCCTGAAGGACAAACAGCAAAATATCCAACTCTCATATCAAAAGGAGAAAAGAGAGACGGGCTGAAAAAGTGCTTGAAGAAAATAATGACTGAAAGGGTTTCAACTTTAGCAAAGAATATCAACCCACAGAGGCAAGAATCTGACCAAACCTCATATATATGACAAACCAAAAAAATCAATTTCAATATATATGATAATTAACTTCTGGAAATGAAAGAACTTTAAAATTTCATTTTTTGTTAATACATAATATATGTACATAATTTGGTGGTACAGAGTTCATTTCATACATTCATATAATTTGTAAAAATCAAATCAGGGCAATTATGATACCCATCACTTTAAATATGTATCTAATTTTTATGCTAGAAACATTTAAATTATTGTCTTCTAGCTATCTTAAAACATATAGCAGATTACTATAAATGGTAGTCGCTCTACAGATCTATAAAACCTTGGTCTTATCAATGAAAGGAAATCTTAAAAGCAACCAGAGAGAAATACCACTTTATGTATAGAAAAAGTCAACCTGAATGACAGCAGACTTCTCATCTGAAACCATGGAGGCCAGTCAAAAATGACAGTTTTTCAAATGTAGAAAGAAAAAACAGTTATGTAATCTATAACCAGTAGTACTTATCCTTCAGAAACAAAGAGGAAATAAATTTCCAGATGAAGAAAAACTAAACTGAGTTATTGATAGCAGTCTTCCCCTTAAAGAATGCCTAAAAGAAATTTCTCAAACAGAAAGGAAAAGGAGCATCAGGAAGGAAGAAGAATCACTGAAAGAGCACAAATATGAGTACATAAACATAACAGACTAGCTCGCTATCATATTTGATTATTGAAACAAAAATTGTAACATGATCTGATATTCAACACAATGATATTTTAAAACAGGGAGGAGGGGGACAGAGCAAAATGGCCAAATAGAACTTTTTAGTGACCCTCCCTCAGCAGGAATACCAAATTCAGTAACCATCCCCAAAAGAAAGTACCTTCAGAAGAACAAAAACTCAGATGAGAGACCACAGTCTCTGGTTTTAACATAATATAAAGGAAAGAGGCAATGAAGAGAGCAGAAAAGACACTCTTGCATTGCCTCTACCTGCTCCTTCTCCTAGCAGCACTGTGCAAGTGCCTGGTGGACAAAGAATCTTTGTACTCAGGGGAGAGGGAGTAAAATGACTGTAGGGCTTTGCATTGGAACTCAGGGACACCCTGTTACATGGGAACAGAGCACAGGGCAGAATTCTGCCAGCACCCATGGAGAAGGCATTTAGTCCAACCCTGTCAGAAGTAAATCTTCTGCCCCAGCAATAGACACCTGAGTTCCTGCTGGCTCTGCCACTAGCTGACAAAAGTCACCTGGGACCCAGAATAAATTTGAAAGGCAGTCAAGGCCACAAAATCTGAAAACCTTGGGCAAGTCCTATGGTTTGATGGTTTGGACCCAGTGGACTTGGGATGCATGTGACCCAGGTAGGATATAAGCAGTGATGGTCAAACAAGTAACTGTGTCACCCTTCTCCCAACTCCAGGCAGTGCAACTCAGGAGCGCCTTCTTCCACTTAGGGAAAGGAAATAAAAGAGCACAAAGGACCATATCTTGCAACTTGCTCAGCCACCATAAAATAAATTACCAGGGTCAACAGACTCCTGAAGCCCCAGATTTCTACGTCTTTGCTCTTTAATGGCCACAAAGGAACCTGTTCCTCTGAAGAAAAGTACCTAGTCCTGGGAAAATTTACCACTTGTTGCCTAAAGTGCTCTTGGGTTTTGAATAAACATCAGAAGTAGTCAGGCAGCAGTCACCTTGGGCTTTGGGCAAGACTGGGCTGGCTTCAGATGGACCTAGTACAGTCCCAGCTGTGGTGGCCATGGGGGAGTACTCACATCCCTCCTCCTCAAACTCCAGCACCCCAGCATGGAGAGTTAGGGAAGAGAGTGAAAGACTTTGCAGGGCAATCCAAGAACTCTCCCATATCTGACCCAAGTCTACCAAGGTGGTACCACCAGGAGTCTTTAAGAGTCATAGTGTGATGGGGATGGGGCAGGGGCTGATACAGTGACCAAAGATTTAGATCACAGCATTCAATTCCATTTTAATACCTAAAAGGGCTTCCAAGGAAGAATGGGTTCAAACAAGCCCAGCCTGTGGATATTAGAATAAATACCTAACACTTCAAAGCCCAGACATCAACAAACATCTACAAACATCAAGAACATCCAGTAAAACATGACCTCACCAAATGAACTAAACAAGGCATCAGGGACCAATTCAAGCATGACAGAGATATATGACATTTCAGACAAAGAATTCAATACACATGTTCTGAAAAAGCTTAATGAATGTCAAGACAACATAGAGAAGGGGATCAGAAACCTTTCAGCACATTGTACCCCATATATGCATTAAGGTATACATCATCTTATGATTTAATTTAAGGTATACATGCACTTATGATTTAATATTAAAAAATAAAAAGAAACCTATCATAGAAATTTAACACAGAGATTGAAATAATGAAAAAAATCATGCATAAATTCTGAAGCTGAAAATAAAATTGACAAAATAAAAGCAGGGAACATAAAGGTATCTAAATAGCAGTTAAGTATACACCTCACTAGGAGTGGTGAAGTATACTTCTCACTATAATAAAAAACATGTATATTGTAATACACAGGAACCCCTAAGAAATATGTACAAAAAAATACGCTAAAAAAATACAAATAAATCAAGCTGGAATCCTAAGAAATGTTCCAGTAACCCAAAGGAAAGCAAAATGAAACAGAAATATGAAACAAAGAAAACAGACAGAAACAAATAATATAATGACAGGCCTGTGCCCAAAATCTTAATAATTACCTAAAGTGTAAATGGCCTAAAGCCATCAATTAAAAGGTATATAGTTACTTGCTTCAGTAGCACATATACTAAAATTAGAAAGATACAGAGAAGATTAGCATGGACCCTGTGCAAGGATGACACACAAATTTGTGAAGCATTCCATATTTTAAAATAAATGAATAAATAAATAAAAAGTACATAGATTGGCAGGTAGGTACATAGAAAAATGACCCAATTCTGTGCTATTTACATGAATCTCATCTCAAATTAAACAATATAGATAGATTGAAAATAAAAAAATGGAAGATGATATACCTTACAATATTGATTTTTTATAAAAATAAGAGGCTATATTAGTATCTGACAAAGTATACTTCAGAGCAAGGAAAATTAGTAGGGAATTACTAAGAACAGAAAAAAATATTTCATAATGTTTAAAAAATCAATCCACCAGGAAGAAATAATAGCACTAAACCTAAATAATCACATATCAAATAAAAGAGCTTCAAAGTACATGAAGGAAAAACTGAGACAGCTAAAACAAGAAATGGACTAATCATATTTGTGAATTTCAGAATCTAACACTCAGCAATTGAAAGACCTTCTAGACAAAATCAAAAACAATATGAAATATCTGAATAATACAATAAACCAAAAGGATCTAATGATATAAATAAATCCCTCCATCTCAGTAACACAGAGTACACATCTTTTTCAAGTCCCATGAAACATTCACCAATACAGATCATATCCTAAGCCACAGCACAAACCTTAACAAATTTAAGATTATTGAAATCATAGAGAATAAGTTCTCTGACCATCTGGAACTGGACTAGATACTGATAAGAGAAAGTTAACAGAAAGTCTCTAAACACATGGAAATTAAATAACAAACTTCTACATAATCCATAGATCAAATAGAAACACTCAAAGGAAATTTTAAAATCCAAATAACTGAAAGAAAATGCAGCTGACGTATTGTTTAAAGGGGAATCGATAGTGCTAAATGTTTACATTAGAAGAGAGAAAAGATCTCAATTTAATAACCTAAGGTGCTACCATGAGAAACTAGAAGGAAAAAGAGCAAAATAAGCCCAAAACAAGCAAAAAATAATAATAATAACAATAAAGAACTGAAAATAACAGAGAAAAATCAATGAAACAAAAAGCTGCTTTTTCAAAAAAGTTGAATGAAATTGGCAAACCTCTAGTGAGAATGACAAAGTTTAACAAAAGAGAGAGAGAGGACAAAATTACCAACATAAAGAATGAAACAGAGGATATGATACTGCAGGCATTTAAAAAATGATAAGAGACTACTACAAAAAACTTTATGTTCATAAATTCAACAACTTGGAAGACATGAACCAATTCCTTGAACACTACAAACTACCAAATCTTGATTAAGATGTAGGAGATAATCTGAATAGTCTCCTACCCACTAAAGAAATTTGATCCACAGCTTAAAAGCTTGCAAAAAAGAGATTTTTCAGGCCAATAATTCCACCAGAAAACACTATTAAATACTTAAACAAGAATTAACAACAAAATCTCTTCTAGAAAACAAGATACACTTCTAAACTAGCTTTATTAGGTCAGTATTACCCAAATAGCAAAATCATACAAAGATAGTACAGAACCCAAAAACCATAGACCAATATGTTGCAGAAACTTACATGTAAAATTCCTCAAAAATGATAACAAATCAAACTGAACAAAGTAAAAAAGAATTAAACCTCCATGACCAACTGGGATGTATTCCAGGTATTAAAGGCTGTTTCAACATCTGCAAATCAATCAATGCAATCCATCATACTAACAACTAAAGCAGAAAAATTGTTAATACATGTTCATATCAATTGGTGTAGAAAAAAGCATTTACCAAAAGATACATTTACCAAAAAAACAATCGCACAGTAAGTTAGGAATAGAGGGGAGTTGATTTAACTAATTATTAAAAATACACACACAAAAAAACAACCTTACAGCTAACAACAAACTTAATGATTAAACACTGAATGCTTTCCTCCTAAGACTGAGAACAAGGCAGAAAAGCTTTCTATACACATTCTTATTCAACATAGTTACAACCATCACAATAAGATAAAGGAGAAAAAAGCATGCAGTTTTGAAAGAAATAAGATGTTCCTTATGACATAATTTTTTTTATGTAGGTCCCAAGGAACCTACAAAAATCTCCTATATTAACAAAAAGATTTCCCCTATTTGCAGATGACAAAATTTTTTTGTGTACGAAATCCCAATTAATAAAATAAACAAATAAAAAATAAACACTTATTAGTTACCAGAACTAATAAGTGAGTTCAGCAAGGTTACCAGCAATATGATCAACATAAAACAACAGTATTTCTATATACTGACAATGAATATGCAAAAGCCAAAATTAAAATCACAGTATCTTTATAATTACTCCAAAGAAACTAAAATACTTATGTATAATCTTATTAAAATATGCACAGGACCTGTATGCTGAAAATTACTAAATGTTAATGAAAAATCAAAGACCTGAATAAATACACACAGAGTTCAGAGACTAAAAGATTCAACACAGTAAAAATATAAATTCTCCATCAATTGATTTACAGGTGTCTTAGTCCATTCTCACCACTATGACAAAATAACATAGACTAGGGAATTTATCAATAGTAGAAATTTATTTCACATAGTTCTAAAGGCAAGGAAATCCAAGATGAAGGTGCTAGGAGATTTGGTGTCTGATGAGAGCCCACTTCATTGTTCAGAGAAGGCCATCTTTTTCTGTGTCTTTACATAGTGCAAGGGGCAAGAGAGGTCTCTGGGATCTCTTTTATACAGAGCTCCACCTTCATAAGCTAATCACCTCCCTATGTCTCCACCTTCAAATGCCATCACACTGGGAATTAGGTTTCAGTATATGAACTGGGAGAGCATAAACATTCAGTCTACGGCATTGTACCCTTGGGCCCCAAATTTTAAGTTCTTTTTATGTGCAAAAATATATTCATTCCATCCTAACAGCCTTCAGGGCCTTGACTGTCCCAGAATCAACTTTAAAGTCTAAATCCAAAGTCTCACATCATCCTAATCCAGCAGTTCTCAACCTGTGGGTCATGACCCCTTTGAACTGTATTAAAGGTTTGTGGCATTAGGAAGGTTGAGAACCACAGTTAATCTGATATGGATGAGAGTCAAGGTATAAGTCATCCTAGGCAAACTGCTCTCCATTTGAGACCTGTGAAACCAACAGGTTATGCACTTCCAAATTACAATGGTGGGACAGGTATAGGGTAAGCAATCCCATTCCCTATATATCCCCAAAGGGATATATACGCTAAAAGAAAGGGGTAACAAATCTCAAGTAACTCCAAAACTCAATGGGACTAATTCCATTAGAACTTGAAGTTCAAGAAGAATCCACTTTGTATTTTTGCCTTCAAAGCCCACTGGAGGAGAGGTCCTGCCTTCCAGACACACTTGGACAGTGGTCCTGTCACCATACCTTTCCCAGGCAGGGGATTTCCCCAAAGCTCCAGGCAACTCCATCCCCATCACTTTGGGTGGCTCTGCCCCTCTCCAACAGCTGTGTGCCTCAACCCCATCCCCATGGCAGTTCTCTGCCTGTACCCATGGCTCTGCTGGAAGGCTCCATGCTTTGAAATCTATGTGGGGACAACCTGTCCTCATGTCTCTGCTGGGTGCAGCCCATATCACACCAGGGCCCTGCAGAGCCATACCTGGAGCAATAAGGAGCAGTAAGGGTGCTGGAGTGCAGTGAAGAGCCTGCAATGTGAGGGAATGCCTGGCAGGGTGCACCAAAATCCTGCAGGCAACAGCCACCCCTAGTACCCTGGGCCCATGATGGAACCTGGAGCTTTGACAATCTCTGAATTTTCAGAATCATTCTTCTCTTATCTTGGACAATAAGTCCTGGCTTCTGTTTAGATGGCTGATTAACCTTATCAAACAGTACTCTGGTCATACCCTTTGCATTCCCTCCTAAGCATGCTTTCTCATTCTTTACAATATGAATAGGCTGAGAGTTTCCCAAACCTTAAGTTCTGCCTACTTTTTGATTAATAATCCTGTCTTTAAATCATTTCTCTCTTTTTACATTTTACTATAAGCAGTCAGGATAAACTAGGGTCATTTCTTTAATATACTTCGCTTAGGAATTTCCTCATCCACATTTACAATTTTATCACTCACAAGTTCTATCCACAATACTAGAATATATACACAGTTCAACCAAGCTCTTTACCTTTTTTATAAGAAGTATGGCATTTATGCCATTTTTCAACATGTTTCTCATTTCTATCTGCAATCTCCTCATAATGGCCTTTACCATCTATTTCTGCCAGTGTTCTGTTGAGGATTACTTAGGTCTTCTCTAAAAAGATTGAACCTTTTTCTATAGTGCTCCTGTTTTCTTTCTGAGCCTTTACAAGAATTTTCCCTAATGGTCTGCTCATAACAATGAGCTTTTCTGGCAAGCATGATAAAACTCTTCTACTTCCACCATTACTCAGGTCCAAAACCATTTTCACTTTTTTTAGGAATTTTTACAGCACTACCCCCCCACTCCTGAGTACCAATTTCTGTCTTAGTCCATTCAAGCCACTATAACAAAATACCATAAACTGGGTGGTTTATCAACAACAGAAATTATTTCTCATAGTTATGGATTTTGGAAAGTCCAAGATCAAGGTGCCAGCATAGTGGGAACTGTCTTCCTGGCTCATAGACAGCCATCTTCTCACTATGTCCTCATGTGGTAAAAGGAATAAGAGACATCTCTGGGGCCCCCTTTATGTGGACACTAATCTCCATCATAAGGGCTCCATCATCATGACTTAATTACCTCCCAAAGACCCCACCTGCTCCTAATACCATCAAATTTATGATTAGGGCCATCACTATCTCTCACATAAGGGGTGTTGGTCCACCAGGCCCACTCTGTAAATTCTACTCTATTTCTATTTGTCTTTATTTTCTTCATTCCCTTATCACCACTGAGCATTGGGGACACTCACAGGTTGTGTGGAGGCTAGCTCCCTACAGCAAGCAGCCCAACCTTTAACAGTGCTATCCACCTGCTTAGAGAGGAGTAGATGGAAGACTAGAGACAGCGTCTTTACAGACATGTGTGGTGATATTGGGGAGAAAAGCCTC